CCGCTCTTGAAACTTGAACCTGTTTTTCCTTAACTAATTAACATGACTAAGACCATAGTTGTCATACCAAAACAGTGATGTAGTAGGCTGTGAACTGTTTTTCATCTTCGAAGAGGCAGTGGAAGAGTTAAGACAGCAGGGCCGTAACTAACTGGTTTCCTGGGGCTCTTTGGCAAGTCCTTGGGACCAACCCCCTAAGGTAAACACTAAGGTGCAGTAGGTGTATCACTCTGTGCAGAGTTCAGCCCTGTTGCTTACAGCTTGCACAACTTGTAGCACATCAGAACACTGTGGAATCAATGGCTCGCCAGAGTTTCAAGACATGATTAAGAGACTCAAGAAGGCCCTGAAAGAATTTCCTTTAATGGGGAATTGTGTGAGTGAGTACAGTGGGTGAGTTGGTATTTTTTTCTTTCTTCCTTTCTAGCTGCTGGTTTACTTTGGCAAAATGCTTCTGAGCTTAGGTTTAGTGTATGTGCTTGCATGTGTCTGATTTGGAGAATGAGTATGTTCTATACATCACCAATCAATACTAAAAAATATTGTATTTGAAGTACAACAAGTCCTGATTTGTGGCAATATTAGAGCTGTAAAGCTATTAGAACCTATTTCTTCATAAAGAAAAAACATTCTTACTGAGGAATGCAGGTATGTATATTATTTACACCAAGTACAAGTCTTTAGTTTAATTTCTCATCCTGAGAGCCTTGTTACTGACTTTATTTTCATGTATGCTTTACTCTGAAATTATATTAGGTTAACTCTTTAATGTGGATATATTTATGGCACATGGAATGTTCTTCACACCATTCCTCTGCATGGTACTAAAAACAAACAAAAAATTTATGCTGATTAAAGATGACAACTTTTTTGAACTTATGCTGGTTTTTTTCTCTTTTACTAACAAGTTCTAATGAGTTTTGTTTGTGTCAGCCTGCAGTGAAGTTCATGAGCCTGAGTAGAAACAGCATGTCCGCGCTGCACCGTACATGGGGTCTTGGCATGTTTTAATTCCTGTAGTCGGGGATTGCTAGAAGATTGTGTATCATGACTGTCAGTATCTTGGCTTTGGCACAGAGAGACATATGCCCATAATTTATGTTAACTCTTTGAGAAATTTTTAAATATTTACTACAAAAATTAAGGGTCTTCACAGATATATGACATGCTGGTGATCTTTTGAAGAAAATGCATTACTCCTATCCCTTATGGAAGTCACAAGTATTTAAAATTCTTCTGTTCTATTTGATCAGGCTGTAATAATGAGAACATATGTTCTTGAGATTTGACCTATAATGTTTTTGAATCTGAGGGAGAGGGCAAAAAGGCATATAAATATTTTTTATCTGACATGCTTTATGTGGCATATTATTGATAAATGCTGCTGTGTTTTCAGTAGGATTGGAGTTTTTTAATAAACCTGAACATTTTAAAATATATTTAGAAATCATTATTTTAAAATTATACCTCAATAAATATATCCATGGAAACCAACTGACTCCATTCTTTTCAGTTTCATGCTAAAAGTCCTCACAGTTGGATAAAAACTTAATAGAAAAGAGCAAGCAGAGAGGAATGTCTTCATAGCCTTTGGCAATTGGCCTAATGTAGATGGATTTTAGTCCCAGATTATTTTACATGGGAAATAGATTACTGTCTTAGATGAGCTACTGGTCTGTTTCCCAAAGTGTTAGTTGCCAAAATCCTACAAATATATGAAAATGTATCATTAAAATGTTGTGCATTAAGACTTATGAGCCCCCTTTCTATAATTTGGTGTATTTGATTAAAACAACTGTTCGATTGCTCAAAAGCACCTTAAACTCTGCTGCTATTCTGTGAGTCCTACGTGGTTTATGCAAAATCATGCCTACTTCTAGATTGGTGTACATATGTTGATTGTAGTCAGCTGTAAAACATTTCCTTATCTCTTTTGTATGAAAGGCACATTACTATTTAAGTCAAAAGCTGTTTCTTCTTATTAAGGAAAATAAATATTGTAGGAAGTTATTCTTTAAAAAAGGAGAGTGAGAGGAGCTTGTTTCTTTACTATTTAATTATCTTTCCTGAAGAACTTTAATGGCTAATCTACTTTGCTGGTAGGATCTAGTACCCGGCTTTGGTCTCCAGGTGATTTTGTTCTGTTTGTTTCAGTCAAGTGCCTGATGATACGACACTGGAGGAGTTGTCCCCTCGTGTTCCTAGAGCCGTGTTTGTGAAGCAGGACAATGGCGGCTGCGCCTCAGTCATACCAGTGTCATCTGTCCGTGCCCCACAGGGCGAGGAGGAAAAGGAAGAAGCTTCAAATTCTCCTGACTTAAACCCTTGCAGTGCTACTTACAGCAATTTAGGTAAGTGCATTCTCCTAGAAGAAAATTTAAATCAGAGCAGGTTTTTGATACCTTTACAGGATCTGAAGAACTTTCCAAATAGCTCAAAACACTGCCATGAGTATTTGAAGACAAGTTTTTTTAATATTAATTTATAGAAAATACAACTATCTTGTCTTGTTCTGACAAAAAAAGTGAAGATTCAACACTAAAAGGTTTTCTTTCCTATTATTTTAAGACTATCTTTTAAGTGCCCTTATTAATAAACATCTCAAGTACTTTCAAAAGACACATTGTTTTATCTATTTGGAGGAGTTGCTATCAAAGAGGTTTAAAATACAGTGCAAATTACGTATTTTTTTTTTAAACAAGAAGTAGATTTCAATATTTTTACAAACTTCAACAAAAGAGAGGACTTTTTAATTTAGAGCATCAGTAACTGCTAAAATATTTGTAATCATCTTTTGTTGACTGAAACCTTTCTTTCCTAATCTGAGAGTTTACTTTCTGAGGTACTGCATAGTGTGTTCAACTGTCACTGAATTCCTGACTCGTATTAAAAAGATAAATGCATGCAGTGCTTCTCTGGAAGATAAGTCAGCAAGAGAAAGAAACATTTCTCAATACATAGTGTATCCATATTATCAGCCTAATTTTCTAAAGTATTTTCATTTGAAGTACTGTGAAGTACAGTCAGATTGTCTAGAAGAACAAAAAATCTCTCCATTTGTGTTTAAGAATATCTGAATGTGTTTTTCAACAAAGTTCCAATCCTGTAAGTCTACCAACTTATGGAGCACTTGGACAAGAGCAAACTTCATTGAGCTGGCTCACTAGTACAGGGCTTTGGCATGTCCACACAGGTTTTAAGGGATCAAAGACTGAATTTTAAACCCTCAGGTGCACACATTCCTTAGACAATTAGTGACCATGTTGCATTTTTTGGTTAAATGTGAATTAGTGTGTTCTGCTAATGAAAAATTAATTAGGTATTGTTGATAAAGCAGAAAGAGGAAAAAGATTCTGCGCAAGAGTGATACTAACATCTACCAAGGAACTGTAACGTCAAGGTGAAAAGCTAAAATTTGTTTTTTTATGGTGAACTATTATCTAAAAAATTATTTTCCCTTCATAGAAATATACATATATCTGTACATAAAGGTTTTATGTATTTAGGACATAGTTACATTACAGATAGAATCCAGGCAGAAGATCTAGCTATGTCAAAACTACATCTAGCATGGTTAGCCCACGTTCCTAAACAGACTGACATATAAAAGGATCCAGCTGAAGTATCATGTAATGTATATCAATTATTCCTCATAGTGACACTGCTGGATTTTAGCCAGTGTCCTCGTAAAGTCCAGGGATCACTTGCATTTCATAGCCAAATTAATGATATAATGAATCTTCTGTTTAAATCTCTATTCAGCTCAATTTTCTTATATAAGATGGCAAGTACTTCACACAGCTGTGCTTCTGTCCATAGATCTCTGTCCCTCCCCAGCATCTCACAAAATGGGATACTCCCACACTCATGGAATATGCAATAAAATACCATTAGACACTGGAATGGTTTGCCCAGAGAAGTTGTGCAATCTCCATCTGTGGAGATGTACAAAACCCAACTAGACATGGTCCTGGACAACCTGCTCCAGCTGACCTTGTCTCTGAGCAAGAGATCCAACCCAAATGCTCCTGTACTTCTGTGATCACCTCCATCACTCCTCATTTTTGTCAGTGTTGTTCCTGTGTGTGAATGTTTCTTCATTAAACCTTAAAAGCCCTGCATCTCTAAGCATTTTATTCAAAATGTTCTCTTCCTTGAGTCACTTTCAGATTTGCTGTCACCAAAGTAAATTTTAGGTATGAAAGAGTTAAATTAACTTTGAGGCCTGACTTGGTCTGGCTTGGCAAGGTTGCTGCTTGTTAAAAGCAATGCTACCCTAAATGGCACTGAGTTCTCTGGCTGTTGTTCAAGCTTCTTCTGGTTTATTCAAGCAATCTCACTTTCTAATTCAGATAGCTATTGAGAGATTACTAGGTAGGGATATAGAATAATTCCTACTTGTTTTCACATCTAACCATCACCTAAGCAGCAAAAAATGTATTTTGCAGCAGTAGCAAATATTGATGTGTGTAATGGAAGAAAGGACAATATAAGAATATGTAATATAATTAAGTTACATCACATTTGACTCTTGCTTCAACTGCAACTGTATCCACAGTATACCTTTTTATAGTTACACACTGCATTTTGTAGTTTGTAAAATGTATCATGTGAACATTGCAATTTGCAGCATAATGCATGATATTCACTTTAAAAATACTAATCTAACACATATTCTGGTTTTTATTGAAAAGCAGATGATGTTAATTTGATAAATGTCTAATCTTCAGTTGTGACACGTCACGTGAAAATTTATGAACAGAAATAATGGCAATCTTTGGTAAATTTTCATCTGTAGTCTGGTAGTGGTTTCTATCAGGTACTGCCCTCAGATGTATTTTGTTTTGTCCTCCCTCTGCTCTCCCGTCATCAGATTTTGATCCTGCCCACAGAAACTGCAGTGTGCCAACAAGTATTTGTCAGGAGCCAAATTGCTGATGCAAAATCTGAGAATAGCTCATGTATATAGTAGGGGCTGTATTTGTAAGTTCATTTAACATCATACACCTTGACATCAAAATAAAACTTGCAGGCAAGCTTTGCAAGATAGAGGATTCTCCTCTGGTCCCACCATGAGCCCCATATCTTTCATTATAAAAGAGCCCCATATGTTCCTGAGCATATAAACAGGAGGAAGTTTCAATAGGATTAGCGAGGTTTTATCTCATTTTAACCCTGCAACTTCCATGGTCATAGTCAAGCCCTGGTGTCCACAGTTTAAGAAGAACTTTTTTTTTTAATAGCACAGGCTCTAAAGAAAAGCTTTGAAAATGTCTGGTATTGTGGCAGGCACATTTTAGGGACTAATTCAAGAAGCTGAATCTGTTTCGATTTTCAGAGAGCCTGGCTTGATCATGGTGTGGATACTTATGCAGTAAGCAGAAATGTGATGAGGAATAACTTTTGTACCACGAAACCACAGATTTAAGAAAATCCACTGGCTCCAGTTGAATGTAGATGCAGAAACAAATGTTTAAATGTGTAAGGTAGGGCCTGGATGTTTCTTTTTTCAGGCCCATATTCTAACAGAAGTTAGCTCAGGGAAGCCCTGTAGCTCATGATAAGTAAGATAGTAGATTAGATTATTAAAATAATTTCCTTTATAGATCTTTAAATATTTCTATCTTTGTCTGAATTTATTGGGGAAATTGCCCTGATTGAATGTGCATTGCTATAAGTAGATTAAGATATTATCAATATACTCAGCATAGTATTTCTATTATTTATAAAAGAATAGGTTATTTTCTTTTCAACTATTTTTCTCTTTACACCCAAAGAAAAGCTGAAAAGAGGAGGCTAAATTTCTAGGTGTAATGATTGCTGACACTGGGAAAAAATCCCAATTCACAGCATCTGCCATGGAGTATTGTATCAGTCAGTAAGTTATACCAGGGCAGTGTGCTTTAGCCAAGCTAAAAATAAGGTAATGAAATCAGTCTTGACTAGAGCTGACAGTTCAGTGACAGGCAGTGATTATAGTATCAGTCTGATGCATTTTGTATAATATATAATTAGTACTGGTAATATCTTTAACATGGTGTAATGGAGGACAGGTAGCAAGACCTGACAAGTCACTAAGGCAGACAAGCTGTTGCTTCGGAATTTTTATTTATCTAGTATCTGCAGCCCATCTTATTATAGTGCACAGTCTCAAACTACTGGTGAGAAACTGAAGGTGCTTCATGAATGTTACTTTAAAAATGTTGGCTTTTCTTATTATATAAGTATAAATGTGTCAACAACTGAATATATAGGATTAGGGATCATGTTTGTGTAAATCTCTGTACAGAAAAAAAATCTATAAAGTAGTGTTATGCATGTACTGCATTTGTTGTAACCGGGGCTACGAATCATGCTGCTTGCTTTTGCAGTGACTGGAAGGTACTTCTATACATTTGTAGCAGTTTTTTCATGGTTTTGTTATTTTAATCAGTCTGTTATTAATGAGTGGTGGGTTTTGTACTGGTATTAAAGATCAGTGTAATTGATCTGCTACTTATACAGAGAGATCATCCCCAGGCTCTGTAATATAATAAAAATGCAGATTGCAGAGAATGATCAGTATCCAAATACATAGGGGGAAAAGGGTACTAGGATAAGGGTAGAGAAGGGGAATTTGTACAGTGGAGGCAGCCAACCTGTGGATTTTACCTAGGGAGTACTTTAATCAGCCTCTATAACTGGATTTCGTAGGGTTGTACTGACATCAGAATTACTGGAACATCCAACTCCATTCCTTGCTCTGGGGAGAAAGAGGTCAGCAGAGGCTGCCAAAGCCAACACTGTTGGACACCACCAAGATCCAGCTGTGTGATCAGCCCAGCCCTGACTTACAGTGGGTTTTCTGTGGACACACAAGGGCCACTTAAAATTCCGCTTTCTTGCTGGTTCCCACCGTAAAGGGGCCACAGGTTCTTAGTTCTGGTGGGGTTTTGCTAGATGTGGTCTTGGAAGGTTAGTTACTCATGTTGTATTATTGTTGATTATTCATTTCTGCTGCTCTAGGCAATCCAAAATGTGGGGTTTTTTGTCAAACTGGTGTGTTAAATTGGTGAATGGCAGAGATGAAAGTCTATTTGGCCATTTTAGTCCTTGGTCCTGTTCATTCAACGAAATCCTTGCACTAAGGGATTAGGGGTTAAGAAGTGCTGTAATGGTCACTGAAACTGAAAACAGAGTTAGTAATCATGGCAATAGCCTAGTTACTCCTGTGAATACCAGAGTATTGTTTGCAGCTCTGTGTTCTAATTTACATCTTCCCACAAGGGACATGAGCTTTGGATGAGAGATGGTAATGGCGTATAATCAAAAAAATGCTTTCAAGAATAAAAGGGAACATAGGATAGATTACCATGTCAAGAGTAAAATGGGTCTGGAGAAAGTACAGAGGCAGCCTGTTGTCACTGGTGTATTGGACTAACAAATATTATGTATTGTACAGCAATATGTGTCTCAGGAATAGGAATCAGGAATTCAAGGAAGGATGGAAGCATGCAGCATATCACCCACTTGGCTTGCCCAATTCACCATTAGTTGTTTTCTAAACTAAAGAAGCATTTCCTTCACAGTTCTGAAATGTCTTGACAACGTATACTGCTGATCTGGTCTAAGCTAAAAAAAAAATTCATGGATTATTAAGGAATCTCAACAATAATTACACATTCCATTAAGAAAAAACATGTTTATGAAATAAAATTTTGAATTAAACTTGAGCTTGGTGTTTAGTGAAACTCTCAGCTATGACAGTTTCAAGAGCTAACATAAACAGGTTGCAATATGAAGTCTGATAAATCAGTTATCTGGAAAAATAAAACCTAAATGCCTTTTTGGGGGGCAGATTTAGAGTTTCAAACCTCTGCATGGTGTCTGTAAACTTAAGTTTTAATATTTACATAGTGTAGGGAGGTTCTATAATGGAAGATGTTCTTGAGCTATAGAATTACTGAAAGCTTTCTAGAAAGCTGCTGTCTATACGGAGTTAATTTTTTTCTGTCTTTGAGCAGTCAGGACACAACTTCAAAGATCTCTGTAAGTGCTAGCCTACTATTGTGTCTGTTCCCCCTTTTCATTTGCCTGCTAAGAGTGTAGCTCAGGTTGAACCTTGTAATGCTGGAGAGTGTGCAGTAGTAGGTAAGGAAATGATGGGTTTTAATCATGCAAAGGGAGAAGGAAATGACAGGCAGGAAAAAAGAAGCAAAAGCTGTGCCAGTACTTTTATGCAAAAGAACGTTCTGGTGACTTTGATAGGGACAAAATTTAAGACAACCTTTTACTTGCTAGACAATTTTTTAAAATGTGGAACATGCAGTGTCACACTATGCTTGGGTAAAGCTGAGCTGGGAAGACTGGCCCACTGAGCTGAAAGAAATATACAGCATTAACAACTCGGTATAAAACCGATCCACATATGAAGTTTTTCAAACACAAAATACAGATGGATAGATTTCAGTATGGAAAATTTGCTCTTGTGGGGAGAAACTATATTTTTATATGATATGTTTTACAAACTCATTTTGAGAACACTTGAAAAAGTAACTCTATAATGACTTGTACATGCAGCTCTCTGGATGCTGCCACTCCCACCAGACATCTGCAAAGACAACTTCTGGTTAGGAAAACCTTCTTCAGTGATGTTTTGATGTCACAGTTCCCATAGCTATGCAAAAGAAGCAAGTAGCAAAAGCCACCTGTTGTAGTCACAACATACTTTTCTGTATTAATGGATTTTGGAGGACATGGCCATTAAAGCAGACAGAAAATAAAGACAATCAAGGAGAAATGCTGTTATAACTCTTACCTTCCTTGGAGAAGACTTCTGCTGCTACTGCTTGAGGGCATCTTGCTCTAATTTGTTTTCTTGCTGTTTCTCTCTAGCATCTGTGCAGTCCTTGTGTTAGCAAGCCACATGAGCAAGGCGTATTAGGAAACTACCTCCTGAAATAGTAGCCTTTCTCAAAACCCCAGCAGCTAGGCTATTTTAGCATAGTGGGGAAGAGGATAAGAATGAGAAAATAAGCAAGCGATCTTTAACACAGAATGTTGCTGGGGAAGAAGTACATAGGTCACAGATTTTGTAAGAGTAAGCGATTGTGGGAGACAATACAAGTTTCAATGAGTAAGAAACACTTGTCAGCTTTAAGTAAGAGTAGGCTTAACTGTCTAGTTTTCACCTTGTGAATCTGCTAGGGCAATCCTGGCTTTCTGATGTGACTGCTGAAGTATTGGAATGACATTATTTATGTCTGAAGTTTTCTGGTTTACATTCTGAAATTATTATTTCAGCCCTTTTAGCACATTTGAAATCCAAGTGATCCCAGTTGCTTTACAGACTGTTATAAAGATATATGAAAAAAGATCACCTTACATGCCAGAGAAATGCACATCTCAAAGAAATACAAAGTAAGAGATAATATTATAGCCAATTGATGACAGAAGGAAATTACAGGAGGCCAGGCAGAACTACTGAAACTGGAATACTGGCCAGAGTGCCAAAACTGACTCTTGGGTTTTGCTTTCACTTTTTATCATTAATCCCATGGAATGTAAAACACCAGCACTGCTAGCACTGAAACTGATTTTTGCCCCAAGGTCAGAGACAGGTTGAATGTGACAACATATACTTTGTTGATTTTGGTCATTTTGCTTTTTGATGAGTTTATCTTTTCAGGTCTATATTTAGGTTTTCTTCAAATATTGGGAAGGTCCTAGTAATTTTATTTATTTTTTTTAATGCCTTGAGCTTCTTTACAGAGTGCAAATATGAGCAGCAGATGCAAAGTATTTTAATCTTCGTTTACTGTTCTTATTACACAGGACAGTCTAGAGCAGCCATGATACCTCCAAAACAGCCGAGGCAACCAAAGGGAGCTCTGGATGATGCCATTGCCTTTGGAGGCCTAATAGACCAGGAAACAAGGACCAACTTACAGCCAACACCACCTCCACTGCCAAAGAAAACAATTTTGAGAGCTAACACAGAGCCAACTCCCAGAGATCTCCAGAAGCAGGCTTTGGAAAACAACCTGTGCATTGTGGCCAATCCCACCTATGACATTGACACCAATTGGGAAGCAAGCAGCGCCTGCTCTTCCATCAGCCTGGAGCTAAAGATATTGGACAATGAGTCAGGAGATTCCTTGGACAGGCCTACAGAGAAACTAAGGGCAACCACCTCAGCAACTAACAGTGTTTCCAGCCTAACCACTATCAGTATTAAGGACCGCTGTTCCAATAGCATGGAGTCTCTAACAGGGAGACGCATCTCGCAGACTAAGCAGGGCAAAGGTGTCCAGAAGCCCCAAAGGCAAGCACTTTATCGAGGAATTGAAAACCGAGAAGAGGTGGTGGGCAAAATCCGAAGCCTTCACACTGATTCACTGAAGAAGCTGGCACTTAAATGTGAAGACTTGTTCATGGCCGGACAAAAAGACCAATTGCGATTCGGGGTGGACAGCTGGTCAGACTTCAGGCTCACCAGTGACAAGCCATGCTGCGAGGCAGGCGATGCAGTTTACTACCCAGCTTCTTATGCAAAAGATCCTCTCAACAATTACGCAGTCAAGGTAAGAAGGGCTTGAAAAATGGTAACCCTAGACACGAATGATAGAATGTAACAATAACCATAATCTGCAACACACCCAGTAGCAATAGGCCCTACATATGTAAGTGCACTTTCTCACTGTATGAAAAGTAAGATTCCCAAGATACAGGCTCTTCTTCCTATCGAGCCATGTGTGGCATTAGTATCCGCTGCTTAAGTTTCATCTAGTTTTATTGCAGCTCCAAAAGTATTCAAACAACCATCAGAAGTCAGTCTTTACCATGGGTGTTGTTTAATGAAAGATTGAGGAAAAAGCTGTATTATTTTAACCTGTGTCTGGAGCTTTCTGGAACCTGCAAGAACAAAATCCTCTGGTTCATCTGCATGCATATGATACTAAATAATTAGTCTTAGGAAAGATTTCAAAGTTCTCCATTTTCAGATCTATGTAATTTCAAATGTAAATTCTAGGCTAATAAATCTTTATGTTCCCATGCAAAGTCTTATATAATAGTTTGTTACCAACGTTTCAAAAGCTCTGTCTAGCCACAAGAGGTGCCTTTATAAGCTATATTTAAAAAAAATAAAAATGTTGAACTTGTCAGTGTTAGTTTTGTGGCCTTTTATTTGCTTAGTTTATTCTTCAGCAAACACATAAAAGAAATAAGATTTACCAGATTTACTGCTTATCTATTAAAGGATAGTTGGCAGATAGCTTATTAGATGTTACTTCGCGGAATTCTACACAGGTTGTTCTTTCCAAGCAGTATATCTCTGCTGTTGTCAATGCTTATCTGGTAGGATGATAGTGGGAAAGACAGCTCAGACTCATAGCTCTGTCAGGCTTCCTGTGTGACCTTGAGTAAGTCATTGAACTTCTGATGCCTTCTTGTTGAAACTGAGATAAAACATTTTATTACCCATCACAGGTGTGTGAGGCATAATCAATTATTCCTTATAGAGCATGTTGACATTCTCAAAAGGGTGGTGCTTTACAGGAACAAATTGTTACCACTTCTGCACAATTGTTTACAGGAAAGATATATTTTTTAAAAAGGTAAGATTGATGCAACTGATATTTTCTTCTGAAGTATGTGAACAGACGTTCTTCTGAAACATGGCAATTTACCTTGGTTGCAGAATCAACAGTCTAAAAATACTCAGTTTGGGGTTTTTTGGTTTTAATACAATGATGCAAAAATGGTTGCTTCTAGGACCCAAAGTCATGTTTTTCTGTATAGGCAGGTTTGGGTTATCACTAATGTGACTTTTTCTTTGTGTAGCATGGAGGTGTCCTTAAAGTATTCCCTGACAGGCAAGACCTATGTAGTTTTTTTCTTATCTGCTGTCCTCCTAAATACATTTCCCTTGTAGAAAGCCACTGAGAAGAAAGCAGTGCAGCACAGTCAAATATGTGCCATGGGGTTTTTTTAATCTCATAATTCAGGTGTCTTTAAAATAGTTCTTAGACTAACAACATTATTGCAGTGTAACAGCTGTGATGGTCTTGAGAGTGAGTGAAGTATTCACAAAATATCCTCGGGCTGGAGGTCACCATGAGCTGTTCTGCTGGTACAAGGAGAGGAAAAGTTACTCTTAAAAATACCCTCCCTAGCACTTCAATGTGATATAGGAAAACACTCCCACAACACACGCTCCCTAATATTTTTTAAAGCCAAGTAGGACAAGCATATGAAACTACTGTTGTCTTTTCACTTTCTCTTTCACTTATCTTAAGTATTATGCATGCAGCTCAATTGGGTTCTCTTCGGTAGTGTGTTTCTTTGAGGTGTATTTTTATACTGCTTTCTCTATGCTAATATATTGAATTATATAGCATTGTTTAAACTGTGGTTACTGGATTTCTTTCTCCTAAAAATCAGTTATAGCAAATTCCAAATTTGTCTTAATATTTGCCCCAAGTTGGTCTTTGACTTGCAAGTCATCGGTCCAGGATCAGATTTGTAAAAAATCTTGTAACTACAGATTGCTACTGCATTACACAGAGATGTGGGGGATTCAGCTTTAACAACTATACCAGTTTTACTATCATGGGTATTTGTTATGTGAGTCAAATTACACAATCATCTACCTCCAACAAATAAGCTACATATTCCTGCT